AGACAGGCAGGCAGACAGCCCCCCCCCCTGCAGGAACCGGTGCAGCTGATGAAGATGAGCTGCACTGCAACAAACAGGCCCGAGCAGCTGCTGGAGGTTTAAACCCCCCCAACCCAACCCAACCCCCTTTCAACGTCGGGTTCCATTATCGGACACGGCTCTGCTCTCAACATTTAATTAAATGTTTAAAAAAACAAAACTCAATAAAAACTAAATAAACTAAATAAACAGAAATTAAAGGAAACCTGTTTAAATAAAGTCCTCGCGGTGCTCTGCGTCAGTGGATCAGTGACAAACCCCCCCAGGAGTCCATTATCGGACGCAGAGCCGCCTGCTCAGATGTCCGGTTCTGTGCGTTTTATCCGGTACCAACACCGGGAACGACCGGTCCTCGGGCCCCGCCCGCACCGATTAAACATGCAGCAAATATAAATATAGCAAATATTCACATTTATTTATTTATATTGTCGAAAAAACATGTGCAAGCGGGAAACCACACTAATAAACACCCACACCCGCGTTAAACCCGCAGTCAGTGTGCGGGTTTAACGCGGGTTTAACGCGGGTTCGGTTTAACGGTGAAATGTTCCGGAGCGAAGCGGAAAGAAGCGCCTCGCTCCCCGGGGGAGGCGTGTCCGATAATGGGCGCACCGAGGTTCCCGTTAAACGACGCTGCTAGCTCCCTGTTAGCTCCCCGGGCGGTAACGGGCAGTTGTTCGCCCGTTACCGCCACCGGATCCGGTAACAGGACGCGGGAACTCGGTGAAATGTGTGATGAAGTCGGTCGTACCTCGTTGTCGCTGCTGGTTGTTCCCGCGGGTTTCTGGACGATCATGTTTAGGTCATTCGCTCACATGTGACGTCCATGTTTGCTGACTGCCGTGTGAAGCTGCCGACGACAGCACGCACTGCTTCCGGTGAGCGCCTTCAAAGTAAAGGTGCGTCAGCGGTGGAGGCAGTGGCTATGGAGGCTTAAAGGTGCCATCATAATCAGTGTTGGGCTCCAAAAAATTCATTTATTACTTATCGCTTTTTTAACAACACCCCGTAATAATGCCCCGACTCCCCGCAATTATTATTTTTACGACTTTTTTTAAATCAATTTCTAGTTTCCTGAATTGATTTTATATTAAAAAAAATTTTGTGTTGTGATTTTTTTTGCCCCAACTTTTTAAAATCAATTTCTTGATTTCTGTCTGTGAAGCTGCAGCAGCGCGTCAAGCTACAAACGACAGCATGCACTTTTTTCTGTGACTGCCTTCAAAGTAAAGGAATGTCAGTGGTGGAGGAAGTATCCTCTATGGAGGCTTTAAAGTGCCATTATAATCAGTGTTGGGCTCAAAATGTTTCTTAATTACTCTTTTAAAAAGTAGTTTTATTACTCCCTGCCAACAGTAATAAGTCAATAAGTGAAAACTTGTAGTTATGTTACATTTATGCAACGCCCCCACAAACTCCCTGTAATTGTCCCTTCTCCCTAAAATTCAGACTTGATTAAATGATGATTAAAATTCAGTTTCGTTTGTTAAAATTAAAGTAATTAATTATTCTTTATTATCCAGCTACGTGTTATCCTACAATATAAATGATTAATGGAATTAAAACATCCTAAATTCAGAGATTTGCTTTATTTTTAGTTAAAAATCTTTAATCAGCAATGATTGTGAACAATGAACCACGAACATTAATCAAATAAAGAAAAGTATAAATCAGAAAATTGCTCATTCATTCCATCACACTGTCACGGAGTTTATGCTTTTATTTTGAAGCCAGAGCCCCTCTGTTTCCGGTATGACTGTGTGTCTCTTGACGCAGCCGCAGATGAACGGCTGAATTTATGAAGTTATTAATGAAAAAACAATAATGTGTCTGACATATTATATTTTATATATTAATAAATTAATATTGTCGGAAAGCAATTGTAAATGTTAATTTTGAGCTTAAAAAATAAACGTTATTATTTAAACATTTTTATTATTATTAATAATAAAATATCTATTTTAAAGATTTTTTCCAATACTTTTTTGTTTTTTGTTAGAAACATAAAGGGAACTATATCTAATTTTTTTTATTTACAACCTTGTTGTGAATGTCAATAAAGACTATTATCGGTAATTTTTGTTTGATAATAGGAGGTTACATAATAATGACACATTTAAGTACAATTCTGAGGTACTTAAATCTACTTAGTTACGAAGAATCCCAATTTTTACTAAATGTAACTGAGTACATCTTTTACCTTTTTTGTAACCTGATTTTGTAGTTCGTTACATGTAGTTACTTCACTTTCATACTTTAACTACATTTTATACGCACACTTTAACTTGTAACTTGTACTTTTACAGTATGGTGATATCAGTACTTTTACTGCAGCACATTAATATGAATATTTCTTTAGAAACATAAACAGACAAACAGCTGTTCCAGGTTTCATTTGTTTATTTTCTGGAAAATAATGTGAAGGTACAGTCTCTTTAAAAATCTCTCCTGTTAGCTTCAGAAGCACCTCTGGTTTGAAAACAATGTTCATTATGTACAACACACTCAACATTCCCTGGTTATTTATTACAAGGTTCAAATAAAAATCTGAATAGAACAAAAGTCAATTTATTACTCAAATAATACAAA